CGCGCCCGCCCCAAATCCACCTCGGACGCCTGCCTGGAGCAGTGGCGGGCGCTGGAGCCGGCCGACACGCGGGACTGGACCGTGGCACTGCTGTCACAGAGCCGGAACCGGCAGCCCCTGGTGCTGGGCGACAACTGCTTCGCTGACCTGGTGGAGAACTGGATGGACCTGCCTGAGGTGGGAGCCGAACCCCGGCACCGAACCACTGCCGAGCCCTCCCGCCGGCTGGCCAAGCCCCCCGCCTTCCTGCTCAGCCTTTCGGGCAACGTCCGCCGTAAGCTGGCCAACATGGCCCGGCCCCGGGGGGCTGAGGGTGCCCGGCCGGGGGGCCGTGAAGCCACCAAGCGTTTCTCCTGCCCGCTGGGACTGGGGGGGCAGCCCAAGGGCGCCTGCTTCCACCAGTCCCACAGCAACATCGCCCAGCTGGCCACGGACTTCCACCGCTTCACCGCCCTCATGAACAGCCGCAGCCGCCAGCCCATCATCTGCAACGACGTTATCGGCTACATTTAGCCCTGCCCGCCACTGCCCGCACCCTCCTCCGCTGTAAATAAACCCTGGTTTTGTACGGTATAGGTGCAGCGACGTTTATCAAGGGAGGGGGCTGCCTGCACCCCGACTCCGGCTGGGCGGTTTTTGCAACAAGGGCCAATGCATTCTGCAGCTTTTATTGCATGGTGTGGGGGGGTGCCAGCCCCTCACTCAGGGTAGGGAGCAGAGAAGAGGGGGACGATTATCTTCGGCCTCAGCATCCTCTCCCTCACACACATACAGCAGCTCCAGCTCCCGCTGCCGTGGCTCCCCAGCAGCCTCCAGGTTCTCCGATAACCTGTAGCAGGGAAAGGGGGTTGTGGGGATGCTGGCTTGTCCCCCGAGGCTGGCCAGGTGCCTTGGGAGAAGCCTTAGGCCCCTCTGGGGCACCCGGCCAGGCTGGGGAGACACAGGGGCCGGCAGTGAGGGGCCGGGCAGGGGTCCCGCCATGGGAAGCGCTGCCGGCAGGATGTTTATCCAGCAGCTGGCTGGGAGCTGTGCTGCAGCTGGAGTGGCTCAGGATGGAGGGAGAGGGGTCTGGCAGCCCCCCCCAGGGCAGGATTGGGCCCTGGGGAGCTAGAGACCTACCTCTGTACCCGCTGCCAGGCCTGTGTCTCTTCATCCTCCTCCCTGTCATAGAGCAGAGTGTGGCCACGCAGGAGCATGGTCACGGTCCAGCCGTGCGTCCTCTGCAAGAGTTGGGTGTCAGGATCCAGCCCTGCACCCCCCCAGGGGGACCTGACTGGGTGCTGCCCGCACCGGGCTCACCTGCAGCCAGTCCAGCACATCCTGTACCGTCATCTCCTGCCCATCTGCGCTGACTGCCCGCATCTCCAGCCGGTCCCAGCAGCTCCATTCCCGCCCACCGTACTGCAAGAGGGAAGCGTGGGGTAGCAACTGGTCCTGGCTCCCCAAATCCCAGCTGCCCAGCCCCACGGGACGGGGACTGGCAGGGCACGAGGGCTGGGGTACAGCAGGACGGGAAGAGGGACCGGTCTGGGGGCAGGGGGATGAGGGCACCCCAGGAGTCCGGGGCACTGGGGAACACAGCCGTCTCCCTGGCACCGCAGCGGCCAGAGTTGGCGTGGGGCCGGCGCTGCCCCCAGCCCCGGGCCAGGAAGGGCGCACAAAGGGCCATTGAAGGGCTGTCCGGCCCCGCACAATCGCCTCTTCTCATGCCCGTGGCCCCCCCTCCCCCGACCCCGGCTCTGGCCGGAGGGGGCCAGCGAGACTCCGACCTCGGGACTGAGCGCCGGATGCGGCCCCACGCCGTCTGGCACGGCCGGCCTGCCATCTGCCCTCGCCGCAGGCAGTGCCAGCCCCTGCCTTGTGCTGGCCCCGGCCCCGCTCGGGAAGGGGCGTTCGCACCTGGCTGCTCTCCCCTCCTGCCTTCTGCTGCCTTCTCACCTCCTGCCTTCTGCTGCCTGCACTTATCCCACCGGGGTGGAAAGCACTTAACCCCATCCTCACCGGGGCGGTGACCGCCCAGCGCGGAGGGCACGCCGCTGCTCGTCCCAGCGCCCCCGAAAGCGCAGCCTTGCCCCCCCAGGGTGGGCTCCCCCGGCCCCTGTGGGAGCGCAGGTCATGCCAAGCGGGCCTGGGACACACACGGTCCCACCACGGCCAAGTGGCCGGGCACGAAACGTCGTGCCGGGGCGTCCTCGCTGTGGGACGCGGAGGTGCCGGGTGCTGCTTCGAGGACATGGCTGGCCCCAGCAGCATCCTCCACCCCAGGACGGTGCCAACACGAGGGGCACGGCGGCTGGGACGGCACAGGGCCGGGCAGCCCGTGGGGCGCGATGGGGGGCCGGGGGGCGGCCGGGGAACCCAAAGCGGTGCCGGAGCCGGTGCGAGGCGGTGGAGGAGCCTCCCTCCCTCTCTTCCTGCCCCCGGCCCTGGGCCCCCCGGGCCAATCTGGTTCCAATCGGCGCTTCCTGCCGCGCCGGAAGGGCTGCCTCGCACGCCATAAACCCCCAGACAAAGGGGCCTCTATCGCCCAGACGGTCCCAATCTGGGCCTGCCCCCGCCCCCGCTCTCCCTCCCCAGCAAAGCGGCTGCGGGCCGGGCCCCCCCCCCCCGG